TTGTGAAGTTCTGACGAATTCTCTCTTTGATAATACGACTTCTAATATCCCGATAATGATTTTCAGCTAGAAATTCTCTGAGAAAATGAACAGTTTCGTCATAAGATAATTCTAACAGATTTACGTCATTAATAAACTCAATTAAATCTTGCGTGATTAATGTAGGTTTATTCAACCAACTCATGAATTTTAATCTTCGTTCATTAGAAGAAATCTAAACATTTTCTGAATAATAACGTACTGAGCGAACCATTTTTGCCGTGAACGTAAAGGTAAAGTGAAATTTTCTTCAAGACGAAGCTTGATTTCGTGGCTAACCTGATCGCTATACTCATTCGCGACTAAATAGTCCCAAATCAAATGAGATGCGTCAGATATTCCTACGTTCTGGATATCCGTTTGCCTAGCCAAGTTGGTTAAATCTCGGACGATAGGACAAATAGGATGCAGATCAGAGAACATGGAAACTTGAACAAATTCCAAGGGCCTAGCAGTAAGGAATCGCCTTGCAATTTGTCAAGAACAGTTTCAAATAATCTTCGGAGGCCTAGCAGTAAGGAATCACTCCGCAAATTTTTGAAAGAGCAAATAAAATTTTTGTAGCCCCACACTAGGGAATCACTAGCAAAAACAAAAGAAAAAGAGAAAAAAATCTCAAAAAATAAATTTTAGCATAGAAAACTCACTTCAAAAATAAAATGGGGGGAATGGTCAGAATATTATCGATCATTACAAATTAACTCACAGCAGGAAGGCAGTGATCCTCATCTTCGAAGCGGGCAAGTGTGAAAATCAAGATAATCGGAGTTGGAATCTCGAATCTGGAGTCCGGAGGGTGTGCTGATCAGTCTGTCCCAACGGTGTCCCAAGTATTCGTCCACGCACCCAATGGATTTCCAGGGGATGCTCGGGGCAGGAACAGGTTTGAGCTGGATCTTGGCTTCAGGAAGATGTCTCAATGGCAAGAGAAACCAGAGGAAAGACCAGGCACGATGACGCTTCAGACCAGATTCTATGATGGCAAAATCTCCGTCACGCTTGTAACACTCTATGATAGGCTTAGAGAGTCTAGGCGCACCAAAGTAGGAAAATGCTTCAATATTGTCAATATAGACAATGACACGATCTTGAGTGCGACGTACTTCAATCGGCCAATCTTGACGAAATTGTAGATGCTGTTCGTAGATAATCGATAATAACTTCTTTTCTTCCTTCTCGTTTGCGTAGATGAAACGACGTTCCGTCTTGGCTGGTACAGGAAGATCGGAACCGTAGCGAGGGAAAATGTCAACGGACATAGACACGAATTTCGTTCAGGAGCGATAAGTCGTTTTTATTTTCCACGAAAAGACGTTTTACGTGAAAAAATCCTAGCGACGAGCGCCAGTTAAGTTTTTGCTAATTATGTAGCGGAGCGGTAACTGCGCCAGGGCATAAGCTCAAAACAAAATAATAAAATCAGAGGTACGAAACACAGTGACGTTTATTAAGTTTCAAAAGTAAGAAATACAACTACACATTAAACGGGTTAGAACACACAGAGTAACGGGCAGAGGGAACCGGAGCCTAACTGGGATCACCGACGAGAGACTACGAATGAATTTGGAAAGATTCGGGTGTCATTTTATAATGACATCTTATCTAGGTCGATTGACGTAAATTGGGAGGAAAGGTTAATTCAATATCCGCAGTTGGCGAAGACAATGCTTTAAGAAGCGTCAGCGATGCTATGCTTTCGTCTATCAATATTTGGAAACCAAATATTGTTACACGTGCCAAGGTAGCCAAATGGGTGAGATACTAGGACAGAACATAACTGATACATGTAGTGCTCCTTATAATAGAACAAATCAATCTAGTTCTTCTTCTCCACAGAACTGAGTCTAAGAGGGAAAACATACCCATCAGTATCATAAGAATACACATTTATGGATATAGGTATTATTCATACCTTCAAAATGATGGATATCATCTATCCTCATCGGAAAATCACATCAAGAATAGCGAGTTTCAAATTCCGGATCATTATGATAGGACGCTTTCCTTCGTGGTCTCTCCTTTACAAATGGAACGCTAAGAGCATACTTAAAACAAAACTTGTCTGCCTAATCTATACTAATGAGTGACCGACATTTTTTTAACCTATCATCTTTACAACCCCCCAAATGACTGTTACATCATTTCCCTGTATTTTTCGATGATAATTCCTACTTCATTAAAAACTTCATAAAGTACTTCATCCTTCTCTCGATTCGCATCTATTGTGATGGCGTTAGGTTCTTTGCTGAGCCACTCTTCATGTTATAAATGTAATTCTAAATATTCTAACGGTACCTCATTCTCTACCTTTCGGTTTCGCAATTTCATCCTTTCAAAGCAGACTTCAGGGTCAGTTTTTAAGTAAATAATTCAATCAGTTTTAAGTTTGAATTCCTCACACATTATCTCCTTCAAACCTGAAAGAATTTGAAACTCGCAATTGGATAGATGACCTTTATTCAGTGCTCTTCTCGCAAATATATTAACGCTACTATCTAAACTTCTTTCTGTGATAACTGAGAGGGTTATTTTATCTTTTTGAGACTTCGCTAAAGTCTGTATCACAACACTTTGAAATTGGAAACAGGACTCAGCTGGGTTACTATAATATAGCCCTAACATATTGTAGCCACGATAATTGGTCCATAAATTAAGCGGCTCAGGTACTATCTCAGCTTCACCAGGATAGAATTTTTCGAGGAAATCGTCGAGGTTTTTGAGGATTGTTGATTTCGCTTCGGAAATGCCTCCTTTAATAGAAATGTATCGTGAAGAATTCATTTTTTTAGGTAGGTATACCTTGATTGGAGCTGTTGATGAATCACTGTCAAAAACAATAGATACACTTCACTAGATTTTTTCCTCCTGCTTCCTTTGTTGATCTAGGGACAAACATATTTAAATTGAAATAAGTATTCATCGCTCGTTTTCTATACTGTATTTTATGAAATCAATTGTTGTTATGAAATCAATCAAAATCGACAAGATCATCAGGGGACAATATAATTTTAGAATTTTTATTATTTTAACATTCGTTTATCTCCTTGGCAATTTCGATCATTGTTTTCATGAAATGGAAAGGGGGGGGGGGTCCTTCCCTCGGTATAGAACAGGGGAGGGGTGTTAAAACGAGGAGAAACGCGTAAGATAAGGGTTGGTAATGTCTACAATTGAAAGAGTTTAAACCGGGGTCGTGATCTATTTTTTCCAAATAACTTCCGAAATCCGCAAGTATTAAAAAGTTATTCAGAATCATTTTGTTTTCATCATTGAAACGTTCATCATTTTTGCCCATTGAAATCATCGCGCATAGTCACACAAGGTGTTGTGGAAAATCCTGATGTGATGGAATTTTTTGGACCATTTTTCCGGTATTACCTCTAAAATACACCGAGAAATCAATCAAATTACCTCACTTAATATTTACTAGGTAAGTTCCTTTTAGGTCTGTGTAAATACTGCGGAATATCATTATGAAAAAAGAATCAAATCACAGTCAAAAGGTGATGAAAGTTGTTACTTTAACTCGAGGAACTGTATGGCATGACCCAGAATATGTAAGCATATGCTATCTGTATTTTGGCTTCCAATCTCATAATATGTATTATTAATTAAATGTACATAATATGTAAATGTTCATACTATGTAAATATAGGCAGCTCGGATATTTTTGTACGATGAATTGTTGTGAAATCTTGATAATCTGTGGCTTTAGCCGATCACCATCTAGAGGGAGCAGTGCGTCCCCCGCTTACCCGTCATTGGCTGCGCGCGGCACCCAATGAGGGGTGAGCCTAAGACGCCCTGCTCCGACTGCTTTCCCGGGATGGTGATTGGCTACTGCCACGATTTCTACATTATTTTGATCGTTTCAGTAAATTTTTTCAGTTGTATAAGGCATATATTTTCAATAAAAATGTTCGAGAGGAATTAGCAATTAACTTTATGGAAATAAAAAAAAAGATTATGTAAATTCTTTCATTGTAAAATGCGTTCATCCTCAGAATAGGTACTTACAGCGTTAAATTGACCAGGAACATTCCAAAAATGTACGCCATTATTTTTTTCTATGAAGGAAACATGGTTTTTAGTTTACTATTATATCGTGAATCTGTGGAATATTCCTTATCATCGAGGTAAAGAACCAAATCACATTCACAAGGTGATGAAAGCCCTTAACTTTCATGTAAGAATGATGATACCTCTCTGAAATGAACTTCCTTCCCAAGGAAAATTAACTCGTTTTTTATGAACTGCATGAAGGCTTTCATTATCGTCCTCTCTTTCACGTATTGATTCAAAGACGTTTATTCAGCTACTCTAAGAGAACATGTGGCTCAAACGTTTCAAATGATAATTTCAATTTTGCAAAAAATAGAAAGAACTTTACAGTTTCCTCCTTCAGGTTCAATGATGTCAATATGTGACATAGTGACTGGTTTGAAGTGAACCCTGATTACATATGCCTGAGAATTTTAGCACACGGATACATAGCCTCGTCAAATTCGTTACTCCGTGTCTATCGTTGAATTAATGTCAAGTGAGTCATGTAATTTTAGTTTTTAGTGATTTGGGTTTGTACACAACCCATTTTCCTCAAGGAAAATGAAGTGCCTTTGTATTAACTGTGATAATTAAGGGAAAATGGACTGCACAGACTCTGCTACCTTACAGCAAAACCTCGGTCCAAAGGAACTTTTGCCCTTGGTAACAATACTGCAGCCGACCCTCCTCTATACGGGGATGATCTGGCTACCCACTATTCAATGCTTTACAGCTTAATTCTCCAGGACTATTTACGAATAGGTCCGATCATAAAGCACTGTCAACTGATTGAAGCTCTTTCTCTATAATTTAAAAAAGAAAAAGAAAAAAAAACTCCCTCTACTTCCAAAGGGGGTTTGTTTTGAACTATTTGGGAATTTAAGTTTGTATTTGGTGGAGTCAAAGTAAAACGTGTCTTGAACAATGAATTATAAATATTTATTAATTTAGTTCTTGTATTAAATCTACATAAAATATAAAATTGTACACACAAATAACAATTTTTCTTAAGTACACAATGATTCACAGTTTTTTTCTGTCTTGTTTTTTTCTACTATATATCTACCTTACATTTCTCAGCTGACTGTCACGTCTGTCAGTTCCAAACGTATCAGAACTGCTGCTGTAATTTTTAATCAAATTAAAACTTTTGAAGATAGCCTGCAACTTGATACTGGTTCCATTTGAAAATTATTCGTATTCTGTCGAAGAAACCATAGGTCGGTAGCTTTTTTGCTAGATGCAGACTTATTGTGAGTTAAGGCGCGTTCAGGCGGCGCGTCAAGCAACTGAGCAAGCCCCATCACGAACATGTAACAATGGTTCACCCAAAATCCCAGCACGCATGCTAGCGTTGATTGCACTGGTCTAATGAGGCTTGTCAAGTGGTTTGGCAGGCCGTGTATGAGCGTCCTCAGGAAAGTTTAAGACATTTAAACAATTCTTAATTTTTTCAACATTTTTCCAGCTTTTACAACCGAAGTTAAAACTGAAGTTAAATACAATATTTTTCAAATACAACCAAGATCAGGTAGCTTTCTATCTTGGCTCTAAAACCACAGCAACATCCCTGATGCTTTTGAAGTACCCATGCTGTCTCAACGAAACTAAACCATATTGTAGCCCGAAGCTATTTAAGTTTTACCCAAGCAATCATTAGTCGTAATACCAAATTATTTACCTGTCAGTAAGTAACAAACGAACAAAGTAGCATAAGGAATCAAACAAACAACTCACGAACATTCAATGTATTATGCAAAGTCAGTTGATCTGAAGAAATCTTTCCAATATCATCACACAATAATCGGCGCCGCTGATGGGCTTATACTCGTAAAATTACCGTCAATCCTTTGATCTGGTATATTAAAATACGGAGGTAAAGACTGTTCTTTATCACAATATCTTGCACATTACTGGTTTGTTATCGCCCTTGTAGTTATCGAGTTTTTGCGTCTAACCATGCAGTCTTCAGTAATGCATTTTGTGCAGGCCAATGTGTTTTTATTATCTACATACCTCCTAACATTAGAAATTTCTGAACAAATCCCTCAATTCATTCCTAATAAAACAATTTGGATCTTTTGTTTTTCTTTTTTCCTGTAATTCTTTTTAATTTATTCAAGAGCACGTGCTTACTCGTATTAACAATAAGGTCAGATCTGTCCTTCCGTAACATTAAATTTCAAGATATCCAGGATGTAACAATTAAGGCACAAAATCAAGTTCAAAAGACAAAATGATGTCTCAGTACTCACATTTGAAAAGTTGGAAAGGTCTATTAGGAAATTTAGGGCTATTTTGTGTATGTTTTGGTTCTATTTCCATTAATGATTCGATGAAGCATAGTATACAATGCTTCATATTTGTATGAGACCGTAAAAAATGACTAAAAATCATTCGCATTTTGAACAATGAATCAGTATTCTCAATCAAAAACATTTACGTAAAACATTATGGGTAGCCTGGTTTATTTTTATGTTTGTCTAACAGTGTAGCAATCAGTAATCTATAAAATACATATTTCTCTCTTTTTTTGGAGAAATTGAGCAAGATTTTTATTTTTTATTTTTTTTTATGGGCTACTTTTAACACTTACGTGCAGTTTGAATACATCTAATGTAACACAAAAATGAATTGTCCCAAGGAAGCTTTATTTATGCATTGCCCAACCTACGAAAACTCTTCCTGCTGTTTAAGATGTTGATTTCCTCAGCACAATTCTCAACTCTAAAATTAAGTGCCTCTGCATTCAAACCTTATTTACAGAAGTTATTTCTATTATTTTAACTTTCGCGAGTTTCTAATTGTTGCAATAAGTCATCTGATAACTCTGGTTATAGGATCTTGCTAATCGTGTGCTGATCATCTACTAAAATTTAATGGTTTGTTTCACTTGCTCGTAAGTCAAAGTAAGAAAAACATGAGCTTTTTTGCTCGTGAAACCAGTAAAAGTATCAACAAAGAGTAAAAATTCAAGTAAATTATCTTGTGTACATATTTTCATTTGCTGATTAAATTCAGCTACTTTAACTAGACTACTGTTTATAATTAGGTATCTATATAGTTCTGAAAAATATGTACAAATGATTGGGAAAAAATCAACATGCGATAATTTAATGCTAAAAGGATAGAAGGAAAAAATGAGAATACTGAAGATCTTTGTATTTTCAATGACGTGATAAGAAAATTGTGATCAAAATGCTTCAGGTGCAAAATTTCCTTTCAAATCTAATAACAAAATGTTCAAATCAAAATGCATGCTGTAATCGACAAAAATCATTCAATAATTCAAATATGAAAAAAATCGTTTAGTAGAATAAATAAATCAGTAAATGAGACGAGAGAAAAAAGATAAGTACATAAAGTTAAAGAAATAAAGAGTAATTAACCACTAAATGAATCACAGTTTCTGCATTTCAACATTTCTGGAATGTCCTGAGCTGAATTTAATTCTAGGGGGGGTTCAAAAGTATGAACAAGTCAGTTTAGGGTGTAAGTACCTAATTTTGATTCCATGTTTTCATAGTTTTATTTTTCTTTTCCTCCTTACAATAAACGTAAGTATTTAGCAGCGGATTCCTTGATTTGAAGTGTTTCTTACTCTCTGAACATAGTAGAAATTTCTGCCCTAAAAATTCAACTTCATGACATTACATCTAAAAGTATCACGCAGTTAACTCAATAAAATCGAGAAGGCACTTACTTATACAATATGATTTTAAGGTTTATTGCAACATCATTTCACAATGTTTGAAGAGATTATCTGAATAGCCTACAAGACAAAGAAAATGGTGATTTTTTGTGTAAGGATGTTGGTAGCTAGAGTCAGTAACATTAGTGCTTACAAAATCGATAAGAACACCGATTACATATCCTCGTCTTATTTTAATTGCGTTTAAAAAGCTTCTCAACAATGGGGAAATTCAGGCACTCTTCAACTTGAAAATATTAAAAAATTGGTGTCAACTTTTTAAAAAGAACTTAAATTCTATGAGGAAACAAGGCACAAGGATTTTACATACAGGCTGAGCATGCAAAACGCGTGCTTTTTCTACGAGCAGCCTTTTTTCTCCTTTGATTTTATTACTCTTTTCATCACTGATGCATCTCTTCAGTCTCGGAGGACTCATTTCGTCGTTTTTCGCATGAAGGAGCGTAACCCCATTCCATGGTTGCCAAATTGACTCAAACAATTTGATTTTTTACATGAAACTACAGGAGCTATTTTCATCCAAAATTTTCCCGATTTTCACATAAGATCAAAAGGAAAATCAGTGAAATTTTCAACTGAAAGTAGATGCTCCTGGTAACAATGCGATTTGCAAAGGGAAATTTGACAACATTGAAATGTAGTTACGTTATCTCGTGCGGGAAACGTCGATCTGCGGCGCGCGGGAAAAGCCTTGGATGTACGATTCCATCGGAGTTGAGCGCGTGCGCAGTGGCGACTCCGATCGCAAAGTTGGCGACACTAGGTCTCGTCAATTTAAACGCACGTGAAAAATCTGAAACCGATCATCCACGATGGATTTAAATTGAAGGAAAACAGTGTCAGCAACTGACTGTATTCGCGTTTCTTGCCGAGCAGGGCAGTCTTTGGGCATGGGAACTTTCGTAGCCCTGCCGGGAAGATGACTTCAGATGCACTACATGATAACCATGTCCTCTTCATCCGAAGATGGTTCACTCTTGGAAGTACCGACAAGTTATCGAAAATGCACAAATGCAGCTGGTGAGTGAGCCTATAGATGGGTGATGATGATCTCGTCGTCGATATCATCCTTTTCGTCGTCGGTCTCCTCGACGGTGTTCTGGGCAAGCGCCTCGGCGGCGGCCGCTTTCGGGTCCTCGGCGAGCCTCTTCTGCCTCCGGGCTTTGATCGAGTGTCGAATCTCGACGATGGCGTATCCCATCATCCCGACCACGAGCACGACTCCCATCACGTACAGCTTCATCCGAGCGCAAAGGTGGGTGCTGTAAGCGTAAGCCACCACGTAGCCGGTCGATTCCCACAACCGGTAGTTACTGAAAGCTGCTTCTTTGTTCCGTCTGAAGAGGGTACCGTAAAGACCTGTTCGACAGAAGAGGAGAGAACGTTACACCAAAGAGAAATTTCCACACGAAACTGGACGTATTTATGCTAGAAGGAATACTATACACAGGAAAAAAAAGTTGCTGAAGTAACATCCCGGATGTTGAAAATCTGCGCGACAACTCTTGAATGTTGTCATGAAAACTCTGGCCGTTAAAGTAACATCCTAGCGACGTTGAATTAACAACCGTAGCGTTCATGTCAACATTCAATAGTTGTCGCGCAGATTTTTAACATCCGGGATGTTACATCAGCAACTTTTGTGTGTATGCAAGTGATGCAGGAAAATGCACGATGCAAATCGAAAATTCGCTCACAAAATTCCAATTTTTAAACATCAAAAAGTCAGAACTTCCTTTCCGCCGTAAGGATCCATGTAATTTCGAAACTTCAAACACGTATTTCTCGAAGTAGCAAAAATTGCACTTAATGCGCCTCCAAACCCCTTAATTATATTCCGTTCCCATTTTGAGAACAAGTTGGGTTACAATCATGACTAGTGTGCTGGGTGACAAGGTGCAGCGGCAGCGCACAGTGGAGTATTATACCCGAAAAGCTGGCGAAAAGTCAAAAAAAAAAATGTGGTAAAAGTTTGGTAAAACAGGTAAATAATGATTCTCTGATATCTACTGCATGACATTGTGACAACAGAATCCGCTTAATATTACTGGATGGTCGAGGAAAAAAGGGTAAACCCAGCGGTTTCGCGCGCATCTTAGCTCTAGTTCAGTATTGTTTACGTTCAGCTTTTCAATCAAAGTGTGTATGCAGTGACAGGTACAAGCTACATCTGCAGGCTTATTGGCAGCCATTATTCATGGTAAGTAGTCCCTTTTTACACGTATATTACTATAATTAGAAATTTGATTGTGTGGCATGTATATGTTGTTGCCAAATCGTTCAGTAAAATGCGCATTTTCCATGAAGATGCTTAAATAAGATAGTTTCTGAATATGTGCCGGGCTGTGTCGGGCTGAAAGTGAAGGATTTTCGTAAACTAGAACCCAACCGCAAGATTTTCCCGCAAAATTTTTTTACCCATATTCACCCTTTGAATTTCTGCGAATTTTTGAAATTGAGCTTTGTTTTCAAGCAAAAATCACGTACTTCCGAATTTTGGATCCTACATATTTTTCAGGTCAATAATGTGAGCCTCAGCATTAAATGGAAGTCTCATGACACTCCTGGAGTTCTTTGTATGTGATTCACATAGATTTGATATGCGACGTTGCCAAATTCTGGTTGACACTTCTGGAGTGGGAAAGGGTTTCTGAAGGGTTCATAGTGTCAGGAAGGATCCATATTTAGTCTGAAAAGAGCCTAAATTACGGACAAATTTTTCAATGTAGTACAGTGGCACACTCTAAAAAGTTATGTAGAATTGGCAACGTCTCAAATCAAATCTGTGTGAATCACATACAAAGACATCCAGAAGTATCATAAGACTTCCATTTAATGCTGAGGCTCTTATTATTGACCTGAGAAATATATAGGATCCAAAATTCGGAAGTACGTGATTATTGCTTGAAAACAAAGCTCATTTTCAAAAATTCGCATAAATTCAAAGGTTGAATATGGATTAAAAATTTTTGCGGGAAAATCTTGCGGTTGGGTTCTAGTTTACGAAAATCCTTCATTTTTAGCCCGACACAGCCCGGCACATATTCAGAAACTACTTCGTTTACGAATTTTCTAGCGTAATATAGTGGCACACTCTATAAAAATTGACGTAAATTTGGCAACGTCGCATATCAAATCTATGTGAATCACATACAAAGAACTCCAGGAGTGTCATGAGACTTCCATTTAATGCTGAGGCTCACATTATTGACCTGAAAAATATGTAGGATCCAAAATTCGGAAGTACGTGATTTTTGCTTGAAAACAAAGCTCAATTTCAAAAATTCGCAGAAATTCAAAGGGTGAATATGGGTAAAAAAATTTTGCGGGAAAATCTTGCGGTTGGGTTCTAGTGTACGAAAATCCTTCACTTTCAGCCCGACACAGCCCGGCACATATTCAGAAACTATCTTATTTAAGCATCTTCATGGAAAATGCGCATTTTACTGAACGATTTGGCAACAACATATACATGCCACACAATCAAATTTCTAATTATAGTAATATACGTGTAAAAAGGGACTACTTACCATGAATAATGGCTGCCAATAAGCCTGCAGATGTAGCTTGTACCTGTCACTGCATACACACTTTGATTGAAAAGCTGAACGTAAACAATACTGAACTAGAGCTAAGATGCGCGCGAAACCGCTGGGTTTACCCTTTTTTCCTCGACCATCCAGTAATATTAAGCGGATTCTGTTGTCACAATGTCATGCAGTAGATATCAGAGAATCATTATTTACCTGTTTTACCAAACTTTTACCACATTTTTTTTTTTGACTTTTCGCCAGCTTTTCGGGTATAATACTCCACGGTGCGGCGTTGAGCTAGCTTCCTTTTCTACCCGTTCGTTTAAGTCTATGAGGATGAGGCCCGTGCATACGTCGCAAAGCCACGATTGAGCCCGAAAATTTAATTACTCAGATGAGCACCGATGAACCCACTGATTTCTCAATTACACAAGAAAGAAACGATCATGCGAATGGGAGGATATTGTGGGCTTTCATGTACCATTGATCGCTTTAGCCCGTAATTTAAATATTGATGCTGCCAAATCGTGCCTCGTTCTTAGATGGCCGGTTCGGAGAAATGCGGTTGTCGTCCCTTCAATTGGACGTATTTCTGCTAAACGGAACTTTATTTCCAGTGTTTTTTTTCCAGTGTTCGTGGCTCTCTACCTTTTTTTTCTTTTTTAAAAACCAAAAAAAAATAATAATAAAAGTAATAATAAATGAAAGCAGAAAGTAAAATTACCGTTGACTTGGGTTTGCCAGACGGCGTCGCCTACGCCCCACAGGCTGGAAATCGTGAAGAAAATATGGGGCGAGTTGGGGTGGGGCCTCCAGACGATGAGGACCCAGATGAGGACTCCGTGGACGGCGAATCCAAGGGCCATGAGAGGAACTCTACCGATGTACTTCATCAGAGTACCGAATAGAAGAGAACAGATTGCGTTCACCACTCCGAAACAGATCATCACGTATCCGACTAGAGGGATCCCCAGGGCACATGCGACGTAAGCCTGTGGAAAAAAATTCATGAAACCGTTAAAATTCAATTAAAATTGACCCAAGACATCAATGCACATATATATTCACCTTATTCTTAAAATGATTTCATTTACGAACGGTAAAAATTCTGTTCGTGACGTTTTTTCGCTGTGTGAAGAATCTTCGTATAAATTTTAAGCAATCGTTTAAGTTTTTTTCTACTTTAAAGAGAGTCCGGAGTTCTCATCTTCACAATGTAAAATTTATCCATGCTTAGGTACTTTTTCTTCAAAATCTACTGAGAAGAACTTCAATTTTTTTCCCCTTAGAATCTCTTCTGCACTGGAAAAAAACACATTGGATCTAGTGTCCAGACTCTTGTAAACATTGACAAGAAAAAGGACTCTTGATTCAATCAGATTTAAGCTTAAATCAAAAGGAAATCCGCTCTAATTAAGAGGCTGGGTTCTTGATTTAAGCTTAAATCTGATTGAATCAAGAGTATTTTTTCTTGTCGATGTTTTTAAGAGTCTGGACTCTAGATCCAATGTGTTTTTTTCTCAGTGTAGGTTTAGACGAGAAAATATTTGAATCTTCAAAAAATTGAGTTTTTGTAAATGATTTAAAAAAAAATTCACTCGTTGGGCCCTTTAGACAAATATTTTCCCATGGAGAGTGATTAGAGAAAACTCTCTACTGTAGAAAAAAAAACTTGAATTCACAAGAATTGACGTGGAGTAGTTTTCCATTTGAAGTATATAGTATGTCAGGTCGTCTACAACATCGCTAACACAAGTGTGTGGTGTGGTAGTTTCAACGTCGGTACGTTACCACGGTGGAACCAAATTGGTGACGTACTGGATTTTTTTTACCAAGTTGACACCGCATGTTGCCATGAAATTTTTACAGCATAATGACACCAATATGGTCCAGGACAGACCTTGTGCGAAACAAGACGATCTCAACACGTTACCAACATGGCCATTTTTTGCAGAGCTTCCACACCAAAATCATAACTGTCCACACAGTCCGGCAATCAAGAGCTTCTTAAAGCCCATTATTCTACGTAGACGAAGTTCCTTTGTCTCATTCTCTATCTTTCTTAATTCACAATTGCAAATACCGACGAGTCCGATTTTTTTCGAGGCTTAGCGGGAACGGCGAATGAGCAGACTCTAATGAGCACATAACGGGCTCCAATCGCTTTGCGTCACCTCTCAATTAATTTCCGGTAACTGGAGGCTCGACTTCTGAATGGGGCGACGCGGCGGTCAGTATTAATAACTCGGGACCTCTCGAATTGTTTGACTCTTGGTCTTCCGAGAAGAGCTACAGTGCGCCGTAAATTATGCAACCCGTCCAACACGGCTAATTTATAGCCGCGTTGCCGGATTAACCGGTCACTGCCCGAGGAATCTGCGTCGAAATTCGGAATTTCTGAGCAACGCGGCGACGACGGAGGTCCGGGCCCCAGCCTCGGTGCATCATGCAGCGTGCAAAATTGCAGAGCCTGTGACACTGTGACACCCGATGTCCAACATGTTACGATTTGGTCGGATGCAGATCAGAGGCGTTGCCGTTTTTCAGTGGCGTGGCGTGCTTTGCGATATATCGATTGTTATGCCATTTAATCCTATGGAAAAGGATCGATAAATAGGGTGTTCGCAGCGAACACCTCAATAATCGATTCATTACCATAGGTTTAAATGGCATAACAATCGATACTTCGCAAAGAACGCCACGCCACTGCCGTTTTTGTTTTTATTCGTGAGAATTTCTTGGAGTATTTTCATTCTAAATGAAAAATAATAGTTCACTCCCTTCACCGGTCGCAAGGGATCCAATTTTTCCCTGGCATACCCAGAGGGGCGCTTCACAACTTTAAAAAATTCGCGTCAAATCCGAGGAAAATCAGCTTACATTGAGGTCAAAACTCTTGGTTCATGGGGCTCCAGATTAGGAATCAAAGTAGCCTGGAAAAGACGAGTGCGGGGATAATGAATCGTATTCGATAGTGGTTCGATGTACTGTTTGGTTCAAAAGAACATAACCTCAAACCAAAATTTTAGGATATCAGAAGGACTGAAAATGAGAAATTTTTGTAGCAATTTCACTACTCTTGCCAATTAGTACTCATACGAATTGCACACGAATCAAAAATCGGATGAAATTTACGGATGAAGATTACTCGAGTGTGAAAATTAGGTTCGACCCGAACAATATTGGAAAGATCTACAGACATTAGTTTGTTGCGAGTACCTTCCTCACTGAAAAACCACTCGCCACCTTGAACCATGACTACCGACAACTATGCACTGTGCATGAATTCTAAGGCGCAAAAGTGTTTGTATTGGCCCGGCCGAGACCGCCTGAACAGCTTCAAGAGGAAGATACCAGAGATCATTGACTGAGGTCCAGGCGCAAATGACCTCGCCTCGCTCGTCATGATCTTGTGTCAGGCCAATTAATTGGAAAACTCACAAGAAAAGTGATTAAAAAGCGTGCGCCCCATGTTCCGGAGGGTCGGGGGCCGGGACCCCCCGGGCTCCACCCCCCCACCTCCCGTCGCTTTGTCAAAGACACTCCAAGGACACCCTAGAACATTGCCGTTTTTAATGTAATATTTGCGTACTTTCTATTACTTCATAGACGAATCTTAAGATTGTGCACTGCTAGAAGGTAAAGCGATCGTAGCCTAGGTCAGTTGGATTGCATTTTGCAAAAAGGAACCACTAGCATTGCAATGTTGCTAAGATTGTGCAACTTCTTTTGTCTTGGAGGAAAAACCCGATTATCCATTAATAGTTTCTATTTTACTCGCTAAAAACTGTAAATTTAAGACAAAAATTACCATCTAAATTTCATAGTTTTTCACGATTTCCGCAATTTTATTGCAAAAGATAAAGTTACTCAATCTTAGCATCATTGCAATGCTAGTGGTTCCTTTTTGTAAAATGCAATCCAGTTTGTCCTTGTGCTACCAGTGCTATCTCATGAACTTTCCAACAGATATATTGGACTTATTTTTAATTGTTAAAAAGTTGCTCATTATGTAGAAAAAATAAAATGCTAATTTTAGGGGAAGTTCGCAGAGCCATTTTTATTTGTTGGATTTTTACAGGTAAGAGAAATGTATGATCTGGGAGAAAAACACTAGACTTATATTGAATGCGTTTTGGTAATTATTGAAAAATAGTATAGCGATGGCTTAAGTTCGAGACCACGTATCTCTATTTCCGACGTTGCAGACTTTCTGTCTTGCTTTATGTTTTTTTTGGAAAGCTAAGTACTCAATGTAATTTTTTAAAAACCTCCTCGTTATTCCCCCTGCTAATTAGCAAACAATTCTGAATAAATCCAAGCTATAAATTGTTCCACTTCGAAAAAATCAAATAGGAGCTGACATGTTGAGACACCGTAGTGGAGGTACCACTCGTTTTATATTAAATTTCTTCAAGAAAACTAGCTGAAATTTTCTCTTGAAATTGTCAACCAAAGACTAGGGTGCGATATTTTGTATTTTACTTCCCGTACCTATTGACCAAACCTCTGTGTTGAAATTTCTCTTCGTGCACACCCGCTGTCTCGTTTCTTAGTTTCGTAGCATCCGCGATTTTCAACGATGAGCCTCCTCTCTAAGTACCGATCACCGTGGATAATTGGACTCCAATATAGTATACATTAAAAAAATGGCAACGCTGTGGAAGGTAGCTGGGACCGCCCTGCCCCTCCACGGCGACACCCGGCGTTCCCAGGAAAGAAAATTGTGAGGAGAGCCGGGGAAAAGAAGAAGCGGCGCGGTGGCGAGTGGAAAAAAGCTGACAATTATAATGACGCTGGCCTTGTATTCAATTCGCGGTGTAATGATGTAATGGTGTAATGGTGCATGTGCGGACCCCGGTGTTTTATCGGCCGCGCGAGACTAACCGGGATCCATCACGCTTTTCGACACGCTCCTGGACTCGGCAGGATCGACTTTTCCGATCGATACTCGACCGATTTGAGCCTCGTGCCGGTAAAAGTGAAACAATCGGTCCAGTCAACCAGCAAATGTTTTTGTTTTCGGCGCATAGAACTTACGGCTAGGAGCTACGTACCTATGTCTATAAAGCCTATCACTGCTTAAAAGTTTGCATATCGACGGTGAAACTACCAAACCACGTATCTCGTTTGCGGTGTTCAAAAATCTACGCTCACATTTTATTTTTTTGAAGTAGACCAAATCAATATCATTCCTTGAAATTTTCACGGAATTTTCTCCGCACAAAGAGGAAAAATCACAGAAATTTTCAAGACTGGATGTTAAGTAGTTTTTCATTTAAAAAATAAAGTATGACAGGAAGTCTGCGACGTCGCAAACCGAGATACGTGGTTTGGTAGTTTCACCGTCGATATATAAAATCTTGAAAGAATCTGTTTTTACTGTTATCGCCAACCACGAAAACTGTGTTAACTGCTCGTATTCTGGCCGCACTCTCAGCGAGAATTTGAATTTGATTCATATATGGTTTTTAATCTGATGCGGCTGCCAGAAGTTGACAATTGTTTTGTTATTCCTCTTGGTCTAAAGGTGCGACTTCTAGTTTCATCTGTAGATGTTCTTCATTCAGGGCTGGATTAAGGGGACAGGCCACATGGACCGCGGCTCTTGGCGGCAAAATGTAGGGAGCGGCAAATTTCGCAATTGTTTTGAATGTAGGTATCAAGAAAAAAGAGAAAAAAATCGGATTCAGAAATTAAATTACAATCGAGAAAGGGCGACAAAATCTCTCATTTCCTGAGAGTAAAAGTACAGCAATTTCAAATTTTGTCGTCTTTCGGTGATACAAGAGACAACACCTTTAATTAGACGAGTTAAGAAAGAAACCAAACACGCAATTTGACCTGGAACGGAGCGGCGCGGCGGTCGGCATAAAACGTATGGTGCCTACAAGACTGCATGAATACTTCACGCATTGCGCCAAACAGTGTGGTCAGTGGCGGTCGGCGTGAAACGCATAGCGCCTACAAGACTGCACGAATACTTCACGCA